TTGTAAATTTTGGTCAATGACATGAGACAAAGTATATGTGAACTGCTGTATGAAAAGTGAATTTACTCTAAATCTTCACCCAAATCCTAAAAAAAAAAAAAAAATACTGTAAAGCAAAGATGAGCAGCTGAGGGGCAGGGACACTAGAGAACTGGAAATGGTACAACCAGAATGGAGTGACTGTGAGTGATGGCACACTGTGAGACATGTAACCAGTGTCACTGAATAATCTGCGTACAGATTGTGAAATGGGAACTTCATTTGCTGTGCTAACATTCACCTTAAACACAATAAAGTAGTATTTTTCAAAAAAGAGAATCACTGAACTCTGGCTGGAAGGCCCAGGGATCCAGGAGGCCGAGCTGAGACCCCCACCCTGATGGCGTGTGCTCAGCTGAGACTACATCTCTGTGCTTCCTCTGCAGGGCTGGTGCTGAATAGAGACCGGAGGATCTCTTTGGTGAGTGCTGCCCTCTTCTTGGCTCCCTTCCTAGCTTGCCCTCTTCTGACCCCTCCGTCTCCTTATGGGGAGGGCTAAGGGCAAGCAAATACCCACAGTTAAGATGTGTCCCAAACTGAGCTGCATGGGGGATGGGGTACAGTGGGGCTTGGTACCTGGAGAAATGTACCAACCCCAATATGAACACCAATACTAACACCAAAACTTACCATGGACGTTAACACCAGCGTCAACACCAATACTAATACCAAAACCAACACCAGCACTTACCATGGACATTAACACCAACATCAACACCAACACTTAACATGGACACACCATATCAAGGCAAAGACAAATACCAACACCAAAACCAACACAGCACTTACTGTGGACATTAACACCAGCATCAACACCAAAACCAACACCAACACGGACATTAACACTGACACTTAAACCAGCATCAGCACCAACACTTAACGTGGGCACTAACAACCAACTCTAACCCCAGCGCCAAGGCTGGCACTCCTGCCACATCACCACACTCCCTGTTCTGAGTGTTTTATGTGCACTGTCCACTGTGTCCTCACAGCGCCCTTGAGGTGCCTGCTGTTGTCATCCTCACTTATGAATGAGGAAGCCGAGTCAAACTATGATTTCATTCCTGTGAAGTTCAGAAGGGGCAAAATCAGTCTTTGAGGAGAGGACAGAATAATGGTCTCCTTGAAGAGTGTGACCAGGAGGACACACAAGGGGGACTGCTGGGTGCTGGTCATGTCCCATGTTTTGATCTGGGTAATACAGGAAAACCTGTGAAAGCTGGAAGCAGTGTAAGGCATAAACCCGTCAAAGAAGAAAAACAGATATTTTTTCTTTTCTTTTTTTTTTAATGTATTTCATTAAAATATAATTTATATACACTGAAATATAGAAAACTAAAGTGACATGGGTCAATGTTTTTAAATTTTTTGCAGTTCCCTCCCCTCCCCTCCCACCCCTGGCAACCAACAAAGAAAGTTTCCCTCCATATATAAACCTTTCCTTGACCTTCCACAACAATGAACTAATACTGTATTTGTCCTTCTGTG